TAGTTAGAATACATTCTCATTTGGTTTGGTCTCGTGCCTTATATCCTTGCCAGTTGTGCATTCATAAACTTATCAGTATATAGATTGGAGACAAGTGGAGGTGGCATTATAGTAGTCTCTTGGGTTTTTCTCTGCTATACGTTAGTCTTTCCATATCATATTATGTACTTAAGTTTACCTATACTACAGCCAAATCACCAATTGACGACCGTACATAACATCTGCCTTAACACCTTCAGCCCAACCTTACCTACATGGTTGAGAGGAGCATCTAAAGCAAAGACTATTGTCTGTACTATTCTTTCTTCCCTTATATGAACCATGCAACTTGTATGTTTAGTTACCATACACCTATATAAATACCTAGCTTTAGACCCATTTCTATCACCAGCAAAGCAAAGCAAACTTTACAAAAGTACACTGATTTAATAAGTTGTCTCCATTCAGTTTGCCACCCAAACAGAAAGAGGCATCAGGGCTGGCATTGGACATATGTATACTCAAACAGGGTTTGTAATTTAGTGGTGAATGACCGTTTCTCCTTTTACATTATAAGTACAGGCAAAGTAATCCTGGTAAAGTAAAGGTAAATGTCCAGTTTACTTGGTGTAGTACTTGATAAGGGGTAGCTTCTCCAATTTGTAGAAAAAGTACTGAAATCGAATTATTATTTATACTCTCTGTTTAAATAAGTCATTTGAAGCGTGAAGAGGATTTGTTGTAGTTAAAGAGATATAAGTTTTACTCTGCCACAGTTTTGTTGCAATACTTTCTTAGCTTCTCTTCCAATCCAGGAGCAGAGAGATGCTCCCCAACCTGTATCATCTTCATGGATAAACTTCACAAACAATGTAGTTGTTCATGTTCTTCTGTCAGGGTTTGCTTATGGAGCATGATTCATATTCTGGAATACGTGGCAAATGGTCTAGAAGATTCTATTAGACATGTGTCAAATAGAGTTAATGATGGAATATACTGGAACATTCTGGAACTTGTGTCTGTCTATATATAAATACCCCTGCCAATAGAGTGAGATATCCAGATTGGTTCTCTTATGGTGCGAAGCGCCTAGTCCCAACCAAAGTGTCCAATTCTGAAACTCAAAATGCAATACTAACCTTATGGACTATCCCTCTTGTAAATATGTTGCTTTAAGGGTCTAGATGGAAACTACAAAACAGATTTTCAATTGCAGTTCTTCCCGCTGAGAAGTTCTTTTTTTCTGCTCAGAAATTGGAACAGAAATCAGGTGACTACAGGTACCGTCATTGTACATGCCATTGTACGCCGGAACCGACGGCTCCAAGGCAAGAACCTTAACTTTATATGAAACATTTGCCCCACCATGCGGCGTTATATCTGTCTGTCCGTCCATCCCAGTCTTTCCCAGCTTTTCTCTCCCACATCTCTCCTGTTGCTTCTTTGCCACTTTGCCTTTGTAACCCCCTTCACTCTCTTACAGCTCTCCACCACCTACCACTATTCAGCATCAACATGACCAATGACTCTGGTGGGAGACCCACCAGAGGGCAGGCTCAACGGAAGCAGCAAGCCCTTCGTGCACGACAAGCCAACCTCACAAAGAAGAAAAATGATGTGGCGACTTCACTTTCTCAGGCTGACTTGCCGATTTCATCCTCCAACAGTCCAATTGACCCGGTTCTTCTCTCATGGTACGGCATGGAACGTGAAGGAGATGAAGAGGTGGATGCTGATGAGGAGCGGGAATCAGTGATTGGTGATGATGAAGCTGAAGAGAAAGAGGAGTATTCAGAGGAGGAGGATATGGGGGAGTGGATGCTTGAGGATGAGGTGGTGCCACTGACCAGAGAGCGTCGAGAGGAGCTTCTCATTGTTCTGGATGAGCTTCCAGGATCTGTTTATGATGAGTTGATGAAGGAAGAGGATAAAGAACAGTGGGAGGTTGGAGAGGGTTGGTTGAGAGAGCGAGGACAGCCGGCATTGGATACTCAAAGTTGGAGCACAAGCAAGGGAGGACGACAAAATGGAGGCATGAGGAGGAGCGAAAAAAGAGGGCACAGTATGTCTGTTTGTCATTGCTTCAGACTCTGATGCTTCTTCACAGAAATTGTATGAAGCTAGATGACTTCGGCTTTACAATACAGTCTTTTGCTCCATCACCGCCATCCCCTACTCCTTCTCCCTCACTTCCAAACTCTCTCAATGACAACTTTGCAGACCTTTCTGATGAAGACAACGAGTACGAAATTGATTGTCAACACCTCCCTGTGTCTTCATCACCTAATTCCCCATCTGCTTGCACTCATCTGCATTCCGCCTTGGCTCCTCTCTCCTGTTCCACCTTGACTCAAAGCACGATAACAGATGGAAAGCACTCGAGGACAAAAGATGATGAAGACCGGATATCTCCTTGCTACAGAGGTCGCCGTTTTAATAAGCGCACAAAGGAAGAGAGTGTGAAATGGAAGGAGCAAGAGATGGAGCGGTACAGGAAGCAAGCAGCAGCAATCGAGAAGTGTCTAGGGAAGGGAAAGTTTGATACAGAGCTGCAGGCGAGGAGAGTGAGGGCATTGGGATCATTTTATAATCTGTTGAAGAGTGGGCAGAGAGGGCGTGTTGAGGCATCAAAGTACGCAGCAAGTGCAACTCGTTTCGGTGAGGTGTATGGAGCAAGATGTATTCGGATGTGGGCAAGACATTATGAGGAGACAGGAGAGCTTCCGGTCTCGAACAGAGGTCTGTCTTTAACTTTGACCTTCATTCCTTTACTGAATGTGACTCCAGGACGGCACGTAAAGACCTACAGCCTGCTGAATGATGAAAAGCTTTGTGCCGATATGCGTGCATGGCTCCACGAGCAGAAATGGAACATGGACCCAACCAAGATCCGCAACTATACTCTCTCCACACTTATCCCACAGGAGAACCATAAATATGTTCAGATGGAGCTGGAACAACAGATGCCGAAAGGACTAAAGCATTACCTTGAAATCTCCGTTTTCCCTCATATTCAATACAAGCCAGGGAAGCGAGGAATTGCTTTGAGCACTGCTTGCCGATGGTTGAAAAGGGAAGGTTTTAAGTGGACCAATTATAAAAAAGGTCTTTATATTGAGTTAGTGGCTTTATGTCTGTGTTGTCAAAAGAGAACCTGACATTTTTTGCAGTGGGCATGAACGACCAGATGTTGTTCATTACCGTCAGAGCATCTTCATTCCGACATGGGAAAGCTTCCTCCCTCACATGCGTCAATACGACATTGATGATATTGAGAAAGAGATCATTAAAGACCTCCCTTCTGGTGTTACCAAGGTTGTTGCTGTTTTCCATGATGAGTCCACCTTCACCGCCAATGATGGTCAGCACCATTCATGGTGCTTGGATGGTCAGTCAAAGCTTCGGAAGAAAGGTGCAGGAAGGGGGATTCATCGGTCTGATTTTATCTGTTCAACTTATGGCTGGCTAGAAGATGCAGGAGAGCAGTTGGAATATGGAACGGCCCATGAAGGCTATTGGGATGCTGAGAAGCTTATTGAACAGGTATTCTTCTCAGGTTCGTCCAGCCATAAGCTTTGAAGGTGATTTTTTTGCAGGTGGAGAAAAAGTTTATACCAGTTTTCGAGAGACTGCATCCTGGGCAGACAGCTCTTGTTGTTTTTGATGATTCCACAGGGCACGGCGCAATGGCAAGTGATGCACTCAATGCAAAGAACATGAACTTGGGGCCAGGTCAGTTGGTTCTCTTCTTGGCAAGTCAATGTTGATGGAATCTTTTGACAGGTGGGAAGCCGGTGATGCGTGATGGGTGGTGGTCTAAGGATGGTATAAAGGTACCCCAACCAATGATGGATGTACAAGGAGTCCCAAAAGGGATGAGAGCTGTATTGCAGGAGCGAGGTCTCTGGAGGCCAGGCCTACGGGCAAAATGCAACCGCGTTGTGGATCACACTGATGACAACATGTGCTGTGCAGGTAAGTTTTGTTTATCACAGGTTGAAGAAGAAATCTGAAGCTGCCACAGAGAGATTGTTGGGTTCTCAACCTGATTTTCTTGAACAGAAACCTCAATTGCAGGAGTTGCTTGAGCATAAAGGACATCATGCCATCTTCCTACCAAAATTTCACTGTGAAATCAATTGCATTGAGTTTGTATGGGGACATGCAAAGCGATATACACGTGGTAAGCACATTGGGCTCCTTGTGGTTGATTAATGCTGAAGCTGTTTCCAGCGAACTGTGATTACACTTTCGAAGGATTACGTCGTACAGTTCCAGAAGCCCTGAAGTCTATCAAACTCTCCACTATCAGAAAGTTTGAGCATCGCTCTCATCGCTGGATCAGAGCTTACAAGGAGGGGAAGAATGTTATTGATGCTGGATACCAGGTAAAGGAGCATGCCTCACATCGAAGAATTCCGGAGGCACGAGCTTCGACTGGGGATATTTCTTTCATTTGAATCATACTGCCTTCTTGTTCTTTGCCAAATTAATAATGCATATGTACATATATATGTGCTTCTAAGAATATCAAACTCTTGCAGGTCCGCACTCAGCTTGCAAGCAAGAAGGGGAAAATTTTCGCTCAAAAAATTGGAACATGTGAGTCATGATGAGTCATGGTTGGACACCTTGGTTGGGACTAGGCGCTTCACACCATAGGATATCCACTCTACTTGGCAGCTTCCCCTATTACTCACAATAACAAGAGTGTTAGCCCTAACATCTTCACCTGTCCTGGAAATCTGCTAAAACAATCATGCATTGGATGCTTGTTGGAGGCTCGCGGTATTTTCAGGCTGGAAGACCACATGGGGATTCAAATGGATGTGGGGGAAAATTTTGCAGTTTGGGGTGGCCAGAAACCTTAAATGTTATTATCTTTACCTAAAGCTGGACGTCTTGGTGCTTTAAGAGTAAAATACTGGTAGGGTAACATAAGGCAGTAAGTGTGAACACTTCACTGAAAGTCTTGAGCACTAGAACTAGTGCAGTACACATTTTGGTCATAAAAAAGGACTTGTTGGTACCGTGAATCGAACACGGACAGGCAGAGAACCGTGACCCCACAATCTGACATGCAGCCATTACATCATACCAACTACACTGTGCGTTCTTCCCTTTGACAAAAATATATACACACAACGTAAGGCGGCTCGTTGCAACCCTACTTAATCTGACTCAGGATTCTTTCATTTCTCATGTGTTTTCATCTCTCAAATCTTTGGCTTCGACGTCTGGCTTCCCCCCTGTCGTTGATTAGTGCATCCAACTCCGTTCTACGCGACCTTCCGCGCTCACTGAGTACGCAATCTCGTTACACGATGTCGAAAGAAAAGAAAACAGCAGCCCCAGCCCTTCCTTTAGAGCGCAACCCACCCTCTGCTTTTATTGCCGAGAGAATTGAGAAATGGAATAGGCTGAAGGCAGCATTGGAAGCAGAACTTGCGACGAAGGAGAGAGATGCAGTAAAATACATTATCAATGGAACGGAGGGTGATGGACGTAGGTGGGAAACGAAACCTTGGGACCTGGTTGATAAGAGCGCCAAAGATAGAATTGTAATTGCAAAGGTATGGTTTTCATGTATGAGCAGTAGGGTATCTTTGATCGGGTGAGAACGTAAATGCTGCTTCCGCAACAGATCGTCAGACAGCAGAGATCTCAGGAGTCTGCATATAATGCAATTAGCCGAGTATTTGCACTTAGATAGTTCTGGGGACTATGTTTCGTGTCGTTTGCTGGATTCAGCGCATTCCTACATGTACTAATGACAGTGCTAGGTGAACGGCGAGTTATGGGATTTACAACGACCGTTAGAAGCGGATTGTTCTACAATAGAATTTTTGGACTTTGAACATCCAGAAGGTAAATTTACGACAATACTTAGATGCAGACTGAATGATTCAAATCTCGAAGGAAAACAAGTATTCTGGCATTCGTCAGCTCATGTTCTGGGAGAGGCTGCTGAACGACACTATGACAATTGCCATCTGTGCCTGGGACCTCCTACTGATGAGGGCTTTTTCTACGAAATGGCTTTGGGAGAAGATGGCACCGGGTCAGTAATCATTCTTATTACCTCGTCGTCTTTCCTAAGCCAACCTAACAGGGTCGTTAAAACGGAAGAATGGCCACTCCTTGAGCAGGTGTCGAAGAAGGTTATTAAAGAAAAACAACCGTTCGAACGTTTAGTTGTGAAGAAGGAAGATCTATTGGACCTCTTTGGGGTACCTTGCCAAGATTACTTATATTTATGGACTGACCTTCCCTACATAGTACAACAAATTTAAGGTACATCTCATCAAGGACAAGATCCCAGATGGCTCTTCGACGACTGTCTACCGCTGCGGGCCTATGATCGATCTCTGCCGTGGCCCGCACATACCGCACACAGGCCGCATCAATTCCTTCGCTGTCGTGAAAGTAGGTTCCTTCTCGCACTCTTGTACCTTATTATCGTTAACGATATGGATGGTATCTAGAGTTCTTCGTCCTATTTCTTAGGCAATGCAGACAACGAAAGCCTTCAGCGAATCTACGGTATTTCATTTCCGGATAAGAAGCAGATGGATGAATACAAGAAGTTCAAAGAGGAAGCTGCGAAGAGAGATCATCGAAAAATTGGCAAAGTACATACTTCGTGATATAGATAGGCGTTTGAGCTGATGTTTTGTCCAGGATCAAGAGCTTTTCTTCTTCCACGAACTGTCGCCAGGAAGTTGCTTCTGGCTGCCAAATGGAACGAAGATATACAATAATATCGTGGCATTGATCAAGGTGAGCTACGAGCATGATTAGACGGAATTAATAACGAAGTCACCGGTAGGAAGAGTACCGAAAGAGAGGATACCAAGAGGTCATCACCCCGAACTCGTTCAACGTGGACCTTTGGAAGCAATCTGGACATTGGGATCACTATCGGGAGAACATGTTTCAATTCGGCGTCGAGAATCAAACCTTTGCTCTGAAGCCTATGAACTGCCCCGGACATTGCCTCATATTCAACTCAAGAGAGAGAAGTTACAAGGAACTGCCATTACGCATGGCGGACTTTGGCGTGATACATAGAAACGAGGCGTCTGGTGCTTTGAGTGGTCTTACTAGAGTGCGAAGGTTTCAACAGGATGATGCGCACATCTTTTGCATGCCAGAACAGGTTGCTAGCCGTTTCCTTGACACCTGGCTTGTCTTAACAAGTCTTTAGATCGAGTCTGAGATGTCCGGCGTCTTTGACCTGCTGCGAGCCGTCTACGGCCTGTTTGGATATGATTTCTTCCTCGAGTTGAGCACGAGACCGGAGAAGTATCTCGGAAAACTAGAGACCTGGGAATATGCCGAGAGCGTATAGTACCCCACCACTCTTTAATTTCGCGAAAGAGCTCATGAATGCTAGACTTTGAAACGCGTGCTCGAAAAAGAGGTCCCAGGAAAGTGGACTCTGAACCCAGGAGACGGTTAGCACCAACTTTCCTCTTCTCGTTTTAAAGTTGAATCCTTTCAGGTGCATTCTACGGACCCAAAAGTGAGCGTCTTTTCGTTTGACCCTGGCACATGTTCAACGCTGTCATTAGTCGACATCACCATTCAGGACGCTTTACGTAGACGTCATCAATGCGCTACCATCCAGCTCGATTTCCAACTACCAGAAAGATTTCAGTTAAATTACAGAACAGCGGAGGGATCGGCTGCAGATACGCTAGATCAACGTGCGAGGCCCGTTATGATCCACCGCGCCATCGTGGGAAGCATAGAACGCTTTTTCGCCATTCTCGTAGAGCATTTTGCTGGCAAATGGCGAGTTTATCCTCTACTCATAGCGCAAACCCTAAACTCAGGTCAGGCCGTTTTGGTTGAGCCCTCGTCAAGTCGTCGTCATTCCCATCGCCGCTGCCCATAAAGAGTACGCGAAGGAGGTTGTTCAAACGCTATGGAATGCCGGCATCGACGCCGAGGCTGATTTAAGTGATCAGACACTACCAAAGAGAATTGTACGTGCCTGTATCGTGTGGTCTCATCATGCTAAGGTGTTCGTTGCAGAGAAATGGCGAGATCGCCCAATTCAACTTTATCCTAGGTGAGTACTCTCATTGTTCATAAAAACACCCAGGGGCTCATGTGAAAGCAGTGGTCGGAAGTGAAGAGCTTGAAACCAAAACAGTGAACGTCCGCAACAGAGACGAGGTGGATTCAAAGGGGAAAGGCGAAAGGATTGCTCTGGAAAAAGTTGTGCACGATATGGTAAAGCTAAAGGAAGAAAGGCGATTGATCAATAAGTTGTAGTGAGATATCGAGTCAGTGCCAATTTCAGATATAGTTTTGTTTGGAAGCTGGAACTTGACTTCCCGCATATCTTTAGACAAGTACTTCTAACGGACTGCAATAGGCATAAATCTTGTGCATTCTAAGGAAGTCATAAAGTCGCTACTTTCTCTCGCTTGCGTGGTCCTCCAATAATCTCGTCTCGTTTCCGTTTCTTCCGCTCCTTCTTCTCTGCGGCAAGTTCGGCCCTCTTCACTTTCCTTTGCATATGGAAACCACACACGCTTGATCCTTCCCATGCGATCTCACAGCAAGTTTTGCACATACCTCGTGAACACTTAGTTCCCGACATATTCTGGCAATCAGGGGAAGAGCATATAGTCCGGTGTAGCAATTCCACCAACGGTTGAAGTGCATTAATCATCGTTGCCGTTTGCGTAGAAATGTCCGGCGGCAATGGACGGATGTACGGCTGACAATGCGAATATGGAATGGAGTCGCCGTTAAGAGGAAGATAGACACTGAGAGCGTCAGGCAGTCGACCTGCTACAACATCATCCTGCGCCAAAGCTCAATACAATCCCCTACATTAGCGACGCATAGCAACTAACCTTGAGGCGTTGTTCAAGCTCGTCAGTAAGCTCTTCAAACTCATGTACGCTGGACAATCGATCCCGTATGTCAGAATAATCGTCACGAACGAGTACTGGCTTCCAAATCTTGAAAAGGTGGCCGCGCTGTGATGATGTCGGAGTGGGAGTTTTGAGATGACGCACAATGGCGAGATACTGGCGGGTAATAAAGATTATCGGAGGGAAAATATTAGTTTGTCGGTCCCGTTCTGTTGAAGGGACCTGCATAGACATGTGCCGCTTGATGCTTTCTAAAGCATCACGAAGATCGCCAGGAATCGAACACAGGAATTGTTTGGATATGCTTCCATCGCGATCTAGAGGGGCGAAAATTGACGGGTTATAAAGACTTCCTTCGGCACTCATCACACCGTCACAGGAGGTATAAGCAAGACAGCGCACGACATCCTGGTGTGTGAGAATGTTACCGTTAGAAAAGACAGGAATCGAGAGCGCTGCTTTAACAGCTCTAACGTGATCCCTGAGCAAGGGGTCAGTAGATACGTTCACATGTGGGCTGTAACTCACCAATCTGCTAAACCGGTGTACTGTCCCTTCATTTCTTTCGTCCGCCCGTGCAACACGACCCAACTGGCCCCTGCTGCCTCCAGCATCTTGGCGTACTCGACTGTTTTCTCAATGGTTTCCAACCTTCTGAACTTGGCCAAAATGGGAGTCCCCTTGAGCTTCTTGCTGCCCGCCAGTCGGCTGATCATGTCTTTCACCCTCTCTCTCTTCTCCATCAAGAAAGCACCATATTCCCCTCGCTTTGCAATGCCCTGAGGGCATCCTAAATTCAAATCGATGGCATCGCAAGCTTGACGTTCAGCAAGAATCGATGCGCTGTTCTCCCATATCTCAGGGTCGTTCGCGCAGAACTGAGCAACAAGTGGTCGGTCGAAGCTTGAGCCTTCTTCACCTTTGGAAAGGGAGAAGTAACCTTCTTGTACGGATGGTTGTGGGAAAAGGTGAGCGTGAATCATTGGAGTGTAACAGAGCTCCGCCCCGTGTAGGCGCGAGAGCATGCGCCATGCTAATTCGGAAGCATCTATGGGGGCGCATCAGTCACTGCGTCCAGGATAGGAAGCATCGGGTAAGACCAAGGCGAGTGGTGAAGGGACGCACCGACCATAGGCGCAATGAGATACTTTGGAGAGCCGAGGGAGCGATAAAACTCCCAAGCAGCTTCAGCTTGTGGTGCTGTTGCC